CCGACTGCTTTGTCGGTGTGCGCAAAGCTACTGCGCCCATGCAGGGGCAGGGTGGTTGTGTTTTTTTCTTCTGCGTGGTGTTGTATGGGTGTCGGCGGAGTGAGGCGAATCAGGCGGGTGGGAGAGGCGTGTTGCCTGCGCGAACGCCGGTGTCTGAGGGAAATTGCCAGAATAAAGGCTGAGTTGTTGTGTATGCCTGGGTCGTCGGCGTTGGCGACACGTAGTCGAATAAGAGGAGGAGAAGGAGGAAGCGGGTCCTGGACACGGGGCGCGCGGATGCCGAGGGCCTCCGGGAGTCGTCGTGTAGTTTGGGACTCAGCTTTGCGGCGGTGTCGGGGGGCGATGCCGTGTGGCCGCAACTACACCATTTCTTGGAGGCCACTTTGTGTTGGTGGCTGCAACCCGTTTCTTTACAACAACTGCACTTGTTCCGCATGCCCATGTGTGCGGGAAAGGAGAGGGAGAGAAGGGGGAGAGCGATGAGCGAGAAGGCCTCGTGGGCGCATAACTGTCTATTTTTTCATCCATTCTTGAGGTCTCCACAGGTACGGTAACATAAACTGCCTTCAAGTATTGATTTATGTGACCGATCTGTGCACTACGTTCTCCTTTTTTTTTTCTTGTGTTGTCTCGAAGCGGAAACCTTTTGGCGTCTGTCGTTGGAGTACATACACATACGCACAGAAACGCACACTCATAGAGCCCCATTATTTTTTCTTATTTTTGGCCAGCGTTTCTCCGAAAGCTCGGTTGAAATTTATATATTTGTTGCAGTTAGTACTTAGGACACGCACCTAGTAACCGCCGAGGAAGAAAGAGGGAGAGTTAACATTTATAGAAGAGAGGGGGAAGGGTCGTGAGGGGATTACAACTCGTGTGGAGGGCGTTGGAGACACAAATGTTAACTCCTCCTGAAGATGTGGAGTCCTTACAGAGGCGGCTGCAGCTAAGTGAGGAGTGGAACCTGCGGCTGCAGAGCCAGATTCAGGAGCTGCTGCGTCTTTCCCATAGTGAGGTAGAGGCGATGCGTGAACGGATGCAGAACCCCGATATTGCTATTCCGCTTCTGCAGTGCTACGATGCTGCCATTCTGGAAAAACAGGAGGAGAACGAAAAGCTGCAGCGAGAGATGAACAAACTGAAATCAATGCTTGAGGCGACCACTAGTGAGCTGGAGGAGGCACGCGAGGCCATGCGCGTTGCAGATATGCAGTTGAAGCAGTTGCGCATGCAGGCGCAAGAGGAGCGCGGCTGCCTGGAGGATGCCAAACTTGAAATGGAACGCGAGGCCGCGCAGGCGCGGCGGGAATTGGCCCGCTCACTCGACGCAGAGGCTGCTCTAAAGCGTGAGATTGAGCAACTGAAGCAGGAGCTGAGCGTGATACAGAGCGATGCTACGAAGTTTCAGCGGAATACTGAAACGCTAGAGGAGGAGGCCAAACACGCACAGAGCCGACTCAAGACAATTGCAAGTGAGAAAGAGGAGACGCTGCAGCACGAGGAGTTGCAGCGCATTCAACTTCAGCTGCTGAGCAAAGAGAACGAGGACAAACTGCAAGAGTTGGAGCGTCTAAGGAACAGAATGGTACAGGCACTGCGGCAGGCCGCCGATAACCATGTGGCTCACCTCCGTGTCGTGGAGGAAAAACATCGAGAGGCGGTGGAGGGATTGCGCGCACAGCTAACTACACAGGAGCTTGAGGTGCAGAAGCTGCGTGCGCAGTTGGCTCGTGTGGATGCAAACGGCAGAGGTGGTCGTTATGCTTTGAAACTACGCACAACTACTGAGCTGTTGGAGACGCAGACACGGCAAGCCCAAGAAATGGAGCTAAAGCGTCTCTATGGCGAGATATCGAACCTTCAGCTTCAGCGTGACGACGCAGTGCTTAGATATGAGCAACTTTCGAGTAGTTTACGTCGCGAAGAGACCGATCGCCTCACTGAGGCGCAGCAGGAAACGCAGCTGGTGCGGCGGAAGCTGCGTGATCAGGAGCAAAAGTATGAGCAGCTTGACAAGGAGAACACTCGTGTGAAGGAGGAATTACGTGTGTTTCGAGAAAAATGCAAGGGCCAAACAGGTGACTTGCAGCGTGCCCGACTGGAAAGGGATCAAACCCTTAAGAAGATGGAGGAACTGAGACGCGCTCTTGCCACGTCTGAAGAGGCCTGTGAACGTGTGCATGCTGAGGCAAAGAACGATATGGCGAAGGAGCGTCAGCGTGTGCGCGAGCTTGAGCAGCGCGTGGACGAGGTACTGCGGGACATGCAGGCGTCGAGGGACCGTGCCAACGCCTCGACTATGGCGATCGAGCGGCAACGGGATGAGCTTTGCAGGCAGCTTGCGGATTTGCAAGAGCGTTTGAAGGCGGTGCAGACGCGATTGTCAGCGCGGGACCGAGAGGTGGAGGTGCTGACCGCCAAAGCTGAACATCTTCAGGAGGCCGTGCGGATGAACCAAAAACAGGCGTTATCGTGCGATGAAAGGGTACAGCAGCTTTTGGCTCAGGATGAGGAAAAGTCGCGGCAATTGCGGGAGATGACGTTAATGGTTGAACGTCTCAAGCGAGAAGGTGCCCGCGTTGCACGAGCTCGCGATAGACTTATAGAGGAATTGAATATTCGACTTTAATGAGTTGTGCTTTGCTTTTGGTTTTTCTTCTTTTCTTTCTTTCTTTGAGACTATGTTGTTGTGCTTGCATGCGTGTTTCACTGGTGCCATGGTTGTTGGATGACTTGTGCACGGATGCGGTGGGATTGGGAGGCGCTGGTTGTTTTGTTCCTTGCGTTGTGTACTATATATATATATATATATATATATATATATATAGTGTGCA